GCTGGTGCTGGTGCTGCTGGTGCTGCTGCTGGTGCTGCTGCTGCTAGTGCTGCTGCTGGTGCTGCTGCTGCTGCTCGTGCCATAAAGGTCAATGGCTAAAGTCTGTGAAGCAGACGAGAGTGATTGTGGGAATATGTTATCAATGTGATCATTAGAGTCAAAGTTAAACCATCTCCCGAGGATATCCTTATTAGCCCTGGCTGCGTGGTTCGGTTATTAGGACCACTACGAGAGCCTATTGACTTACAGTACACTTCACTCCTCCAGACGCCGCAGGCACATGAAGTTGACTTATTAAACGACTATTAATCATTATTATTATGAAACAACGTTGAAAACGTTTATCCTTTATTGATTAAATGTTACTGGGTATATTTTGCCTGTCTGCCACCTGTCAGTCCCGCCCGGGAGCCGGCCGGCCGAGCGGACAGCACGCTGGACTTGTGATCCTGTGGTCCTGGGTTCGATCCCAGGCGCCGGCGAGAAACAATGGGCAGAGTTTCTTTCACCCTATGCCCCTGTTACCTAGCAGTAAAATAGGTACCTGGGTGTTAGTCAGCTGTCACGGGCTGCTTCCTGGTGGTGGAGGCCTGGTCGAGGACCGGGCCGCGGGGACACTAAAAGCCCCGAAATCATCTCAAGATAACCTCAAGATGGTTGACACAAACCCTGGTTTGTGTCTCGGAGAGGCTGCAGGATCCGTGTGAGGGCAGTTCCACTCCCGGTGGCAATTCTTTTTGACCATGTCATAGCATGTCGATTAAGGCAGCGTCTGGGATCCTCTCGGACGTAGGTTCGAACCCTCATTAAGGCCTTTGTGGATTTGTTCATTGTTAGAGTGTGGTTTGTGTGGCGTCAGTGCGTGGTTTGATCACCAACTTCACTTCCCACTTCTCTTCACTACCCGTAAAGGCGCCATCAAAGTCAATCTTCCCTCTCGTTTAAGTTCTTCCAGTTACTCCTCAACTTTAAATGATTACTCTTAGCTGTCCATCCTTCCCCCTCTCCCTCCCACCCCTCCTCCCCCCTATCCACATGCCATCCCTCCCTCTCCTTATAACCCCCCCCACTCCATCTACCCCCATCCTTCTCATCCCACTCTCTGTATTGTCAAAATGGCTTAGTGCTATCTCCTCATAATTACCTGTCACCCCCCCCCCCACCAATCAACCACAACTTACATCGAAGCATCAACTTAGTCACCAGAAACTTAGCAGTGTCAACCAGCACCGCGGTCGTCCCATCCAACACTATCAAGTTTTTTCTCTCCCAAACTTCCTCCACAGAATGTTTACCACCAAATAAGAACGATATAATCTCTTATAACTTTCTCTTCATGTTTAAGCCTCGAGGTCCTTTTCCTTGTAAACTTAATAATCCCAAACTTTCTCTCTCTCTCTCTCCTCTGCGTTGCTCTTCAGCCAGAGTTTATGGCCTCTAAGTCCACCATAAAAAAATATTTTTATTTTGTCTTTTTTTGGTTTCAATGTTGTAACTTTATTGTCTTCGGGAAGTGTCTTCGCACCAGAGCCTTATTTTATGTCCAGCTTTCCCCAGCTGGTTAATAAAGGTGGCATAGTGGTCACTACCAGCCGTCCTGGAAGGTCACTACCAGCCGTCCTGGAAGGTCACTACCAGCCGTCTTGGAAGGTCACTACCAGCCGTCCTGGAAGGTGGTCACTACCAGCCGTCCTGGAAGGTCACTACCAGCCGTCCTGGAAGGTGGTCACTACCAGCCGTCCTGGAAGGTCACTACCAGCCGTCCTGGAAGGTCACTACCAGCCGTCCTGGAAGGTCACTACCAGCCGTCCTGGAAGGTCACTACCAGCCGTCCTGGAAGGTCACTACCAGCCGTCCTGGAAGGTCACTACCATCTGTTCTGGAAGGTCACTACCAGCCGTCCTGGAAGGTCACTACCATCTGTTCTGGAAGGTCACTACCAGCCGTCCTGGAAGGTGGTCACTTCCAGCCGTCCTGGAAGGTGGTCACTACCAGCCGTCCTGGAAGGTCACTACCAGCCGTCCTGGAAGGTCACTACCAGCCGTCCTGGAAGGTCACTACCATCTGTTCTGGAAGGTCACTACCAGCCGTCCTGGAAGGTCACTACCATCTGTTCTGGAAGGTCACTACCAGCCGTCCTGGAAGGTGGTCACTTCCAGCCGTCCTGGAAGGTCACTACCAGCCGTCCTGGAAGGTCACTACCAGCCGTCCTGGAAGGTCACTACCAGCCGTCCTGGAACGTCACTACCATCTGTTCTGGAAGGTCACTACCAGCCGTCCTGGAAGGTCACTACCATCTGTTCTGGAAGGTCACTACCAGCCGTCCTGGAACGTCAAAACCAGCCGTCCTGGAAGGTCACTACCAGCCGTCCTGGAAGGTCACTACCAGCCGTCCTGGAAGGTCACTACCAGCCGTCCTGGAAGGTCACTACCAGCCGTCCTGGAAGGTCACTACCATCTGTTCTGGAAGGTCACTACCAGCCGTCCTGGAACGTCACTACCATCTGTTCTGGAAGGTCACTACCAGCCGTCCTGGAAGGTCACTACCATCTGTTCTGGAAGGTCACTACCATCTGTTCTGGAAGGTCACTACCAGCCGTCCTGGAAGGTCACTACCATCTGTTCTGGAAGGTCACTACCAGCCGTCCTGGAAGGTCACTACCAGCCGTCCTGGAAGGTCACTACCAGCCGTCCTGGAAGGTCACTACCAGCCGTCCTGGAAGGAGGTCAACACCGCCAGAAACAGACGCGCAGTTTTTCTTTGTTTATTGACTTCTATTGGAAGCCAAGTTTTCCTCACTCTGAGGGGAATATCTTCACCTTCCAGTGTGCTTACCTTGTGTTCACCTGCCAGAGTGTTCACCTTGTACTCACCTAATTGAACTCACCTAATTGTGCTTGCGGGGGTTAAGCTTTGTCTCTTTGGTCCCGCCTCTCAACCGTCAATCAACTGGTGTACAGATTCCTGAGCCTACTGGGCTCTTTCATATCTACATTTGAAACTGTGTATGGAGTCAGCCTCCACCACATCACTGCCTAATGCATTCCATTTATTAACTTCTCTGACACTGAAAAAATTCTTTCTAACGTCTCTGTGGCTCATCTGGGTACTAAGTTTCCACCTATGTCCCCTTGTTCGTGTCCCACCCGTGCTGAAGAGTTTGTCTTTGTCCACCCTGTCAATTCCTCTGATAATTTTGTAGGTGGTTATTATGTCTCCCCTTACTCTTCTGTTTTTTTCTGGGACGTGAGGTTCAGCTCCTTTAGCCTTTCCTCGTAGCTCATTCCTCTCAGTTCCAGGACGAGCCTGTTCGCATACCGCCGAATCTTCTCTAACTTTGTCTTGTGTTTAACTAGGTATGGACTCCAGGCTGGAGCTGCATATTCCAGGATTGGTTTGATATAAGTGGTATACAGGGTCCTGAACGATTCCTTACACAAGTTTCTAAAGGCAGTTCTTAAGTTGGCCAGTCTAGCATATGCCGCTGATGATATCCTTTTGATGTGGGCCTCTGGGGACACGTTCGGTGTGATATCAACCCCCAGATCTTTCTCTCTATTTGACTCTTGCAGGATTTCACCTTCCAGATGGTACCTTGTGTTCAGCCGCCTGCTCCCTTCGCCTAATTTCATTACCTTACACTTTCCCGAGTTGAACTTCAGCAGCCATTTTCTAGACCATTCCTCCAGTTTGTTCAGATCGACCTGTAGTCTCTGTCTTTCCTCATACGTCTTGATTCTTCTCATAATTTTTTTATCATCAGTAAACATTGAGAGGAACGAGTCTATATCCTCCGGAAGATCGTTTACATATATTAGAAACAGGATGGGTCCAAGTACTGAGCCCTATGGGACTCCGCTGGTGACATCTCGCTACTCTGATGTCTCCCCCCTCACTGTTACTCGCTGTTTCCTGTTGCTTAAGTACTCCTTTATCCACGGGAGCACCTTCCCTTTTACTCCTGCCTGTTGCTCCAACTTTTTTAACAGCCTTTTATGGGGTACTGTGTCAAAGGCTTTCTGGCAGTCCAGGAAAAAGCAGTCAGCCCACCCTTCTCTTTCCTGCCTAATTTTTGTCGCCTGGTCATAGAATTCTATTAAACCTGTGAGGCACGATTTACGATCTCTTGGTAAATCGTGGTGGTGTGTTACAAAGTTGTAACTTTGTCACTACCTGGTAGTGAGCACTACCACTACCACTACCACAGTGTCACTACCTGCTCGTAGAGCATCTGGAGTCCCTCCAGATGCTCTACGAGCCTTTTCCTCACGATCTTCTCCATCACCTTGCATGGTATACAAGTTAGGGAAACTGACCTGTAGTTCAGTGCCTCTTGTCTGTCACCCTTCTTGTATGGACTTGGACTACGTTAGCTGTCTTCCAGCTTTCGACGGATAATATTTTCATCCATGTGCAATTTATATTTCTCCCATAACTCTGTTGGAGATAACAGAGAGCCGGTGGTCAGTATGAGTGCACACAATGCACGAATTTGATTTGGATGTGACGTGTTGGACGCGTCATTAATGCCTTCATCCCAGTGTCGGTCGTTCTCCAATAAATTCGGAGCTTGACATGCACTACGGGAAGTGGCATGTGTTACGCTGTTGACAAAACTCAATTGCTGGAAAGACGTTGGACCGGGAACATTTACCAAGAGAATGCGAAGAAAGAAGCATTCATCCTGATTAGGATGCACGGTGTACAGTCTGCCTATCGTAGTTTATTTGAATATGCCAAATTGTTCGTCGTCTCGCTCTCCTCGTTTGCATCGATCAAATCATTTTCTGCTGGCATTCCATGTATAATGCGCAGGCACTTCCGAATACAGCATTGTTTTCGCAAACACGTCATTTTGACATAACGTGAAGACAGCAGTTAACGTTGTAGCTGGTGGATTCATAGCTGTTTGTTGCACATTTGCAGCTGTGAAATAAATGTGTTGTCCATTTTCATGTTTTCAAAATAAAAACAAAAAATACTAACGAAATATATCAATTCAAAGGCAGATCAATGGACTCAGCTTAATTTCACCACCAATTACACTGAAAAATAACAAGAACAGTTAAAAAAACGAAATGAAAAACAATGAAAAAAGAAACAAATAAACTATACCCACGAAATGAACATTATGGTAAACAACACAACTCAATTCCAACACAATGTCACACAAAATAATTAAATAAATATGAAAATAAATCAAAATCTATGAAATTTCAATTTATCAATGCAATCGGAAACATTGAAATGGAATCGTAACATATTTTGTATTACTTGTGTTGGTCTTACGTGCAACAGATGGCGCTGTTTTAAAAAAAAAACATGTTTTTACCTGTCACAGGTGTGGCATCTAAATAGTATGTATATGAAAACACGCACATATTCGAATGTAACGTTGTGTCAAAATTTCACACCAATCAGTGAAGAACTTTCGGAAATAAAAGTGTGTTGCTCCTACGTCCTACAGATGGCGCTGTTTTTCAAAAAACGCATGTTTTTTCCTGTCACAGGTGAGGCATGTATATAGTAGGTATATAAAAACACTCGCCTATTCCAATGCAACGTTGTGTCAAAATTTCAAAGCAATCGGTAAAGAGGTTTCGAAGATTTCCCTGACATGAAAAACACATGAAAAACACAGTTTTCCAAAAAAAGCATGTTTTTCTCCCATCACAGACTTGATATCGATATAGTATGTATATAAAAACCCGCTCGGATGCGAATGGAACGTTGTGTGAAAATTTCAAAGCAATCAGTGAAGAACTTTCGGAGATTAGCGATATTGAACAAACGAACTTTTCCATTTTTATTTATATAGATATATATATGTGAACAAGCCTGAACGGTTTCCAGGCATATATGCAACTGAAAACTCCCACCCCAGAAGTGACTCAAACCCATTCTGCCAGAAGCACTCTGCAACTGATATACAGGATCCCCTAACCACTCAACCATCATGACCGGACAAAAGAGGATGGTAGCCGAGGCTAATTCCCCATCCTCCCGCCGGCACTCTGATGGTAATCTTGGGCGTAGTATTTTATCAAATCACCTCATTCTTTGGGGCACACGTGAGGAACACAAATGCGAACAAGCCTGAACGGTCTGCAGGCATATATGCAACTGAAAACTCACACCCCAGAAGTGACTCGAACCCATACTGCCAGAAACACTCTGCAACTGATGTTCAGGATCCCTTAACCACTCGACCATCGCGACCGGACAAAAGAGGATGGTAGCCAAGGCTAATTCCCCATCCTCCCGCCGGCACTCTGATGGTCGAGTGGTTAAGGGATCCTGTACCATATTTACTGTGCGCAAATTTATAGCATATTTCCTAATGATAACCATTCATGTGTCTGACAGGAAAGTTTGTGTGTATTTATTGTAACAGAAGTAATGTTATGATTTGAAGATGATTTGCCTGTACTGATATGATGAGAAAGTGATATATATTAATGATCATATATTTATCATTTCAATGTCTTTGTACATTAACTGTGGTCATCAAGGTGGTGTGAAGGAGCTCAGTGATGGAAGTTGATTTATGTTGTCTGAGTTTGTTTCTTTCTATAAATATATTTTTAATTATATACTCAAAACTGCGTGAAACTACCAATAGGAAAAAGTTTACAGCCTATATGAAAGATGAGCAGAAAACTGAAAACGTTGCGTCACCTTAAGGGGTACTCGTGCCCTTAATCTTCATCAATCAAGTTGCGATATCTATAATTAGTCCTTAAGTCAGATTTTCAAGAAGCAAAATACTTTTTTTATATATAATCACACACTCAGGATTAGTCATGTGAACAAAAATATTTGTTTTGCCTTACTACGAAGGGCTGGCAGAAACTCACGCACGTTTTCAAGAACATGTTTAAGGACAAATTAAAAACAAATGCAATAAAATCTATAATAATCAGAAAGTTATCTACTTTGTTAACAGATTGTGTGTATTCTGTTTCGTACAAAAACTGTAACTTTATCTACATTGGGCAAACTGGTAAAAATCTTAAATCGTGACTTTCCCAGCACAGATATGCAATAAAAACTTTGCAGACGTCAAATGCAACATTTGCACACGTTGTCAATTGGTGCTCATCTGGGAAAAATTCTCGGCACTCCCCATCTAATTTCATTAGATGAGGAGTGGCCAATTTCGTTAATAATTTTAGGTCCCTGTATGTAACTACTCTGCATCATCTTGGCTATTTCTGTAGCTAGTACAAGATATCTACACTAGTTATAATAGGTCCTGCTATAATAGGTAAAGTACCATTACTTGCCAGTTTCCCTAAACTAACCTTATTGGAGCCCAGCCACTTGGGCTGGACGGTAGAGCGAAGGTCTCGCTTAATACAGGTCGGGGTTCAATCCCCGACCGTCCAAGTGGTTGGGCACTCTTCCTTCCCCCCCCCCCCGTCCCATCCCAAATCCTTATCCTGACCCGTTCCCAGTGCAATATAGTCGTAATGGCTTGACGCTTTCTCCTGGTAATTTTTCCGTAACCTTATTAGCGCAATTGAATTATGGGGCAGCTAGTGCCCAAGGTGGATGAAATGTTACATTCAGTAACATTTCATTGTGATTGTGTGGTATACAGTTCGTATGACTTAGGGCGGAGTATTCCTCAACCTTCTGTACTTCAGTGGTAGCTACGGAGATAGGCAAGTCCCGTATGGGAGGCAGCGGTTAGATGCCTTGGGATCCTGCTCTTTAAATCCTGACCCATAGTACAGTCGGCAGTGTCCACCTCTGACGTCAGGGTGTTCCAGGCACTTACTGCCCAAGGAGAACGAAAAAGAAGGAACAATGGGGTAAAGTAACTCACCTGGCGCCGTGCGCATGTACCGGGGCGAGATTATGGAGCCAGGCGATGGGTCCAGGAGGGCGGGGAGGTGCTTGTACCCAGCAGGTGAGCAGGAGACGGGACCCAGCCTCCACGTACACCTCCCCGGGCCCAGGGATCACCGCTCCTCCCACTGTGGGCGACAAGAGATATCAGGAATTAAATACAATCTATCTACACATAGCAAATTCTGCTGTCCGGTCGTTGATGGTCGTCTCAGTCACAAGAGAGGGACCAGGGGCCAGATTCACGAAGCAGTTACGAAAGTACTTACGGACGTGTACATCTTTCCTCAAATTTTGACAGCTTTGATTACATTTATTAAAACAGTTTAAAAGCATGGCAACGTCCCAATCAACTGTTGTTATTGTTATAAACAGCTTCCTGGTGCTTCGGAACTAATTGACTGTTTAATAATTGTAAACAAAGCCATCAAAAATTGAGAAAAGATGTACAGATTCGTAAGTACTTGCGTAACTGCTTCGTGAATTTGGCCCCAGGTACTCTCTCGGCGTCTAGACTAACCGTAAACTCTCTAGAAGACGAGTGGATTAATGACGATATCTGGTTTTGTGTCTGTTTCTGTGACTACTTGATCGAGTGTCTGGGAATGTGGATGGAAGGGTGTGTCGTCCAGTCTAAATGTGGTTTTGCATGTAAGGGAGAAATGTAGGCCGCAAGATATTCCTATTTCTCCACCTGGTGTTGTATGTGAGTCTGCCTGTTACTGTGTGTCTGAGACTCGTGGGTTGTTAGTGCAAGAGGAAAGAGAGAATGGTTTAACTGTTTGATAGGCTTCACTATTGCTGTGGCGGTGACTGTGTCTGTGACTGTGTCTGTGACTGTGTCTGTGACTGTGTCTGTGACTGTGTCTGTGACTGTATCTGTGATTGTGGTTCTGATTGTATCTGTGACTGTCTGTATTTGTACTCACCTATCAGTTCGTGCCTATCAGTAACTATAGAGGGAGCGAGGTCTAGCTCCTTACGCCTCGACTACTGGCCTTGTTATGTCCGCTGTGCTATAATTGAAACATTCTGACATTTGAATTCTTTGTTGAATCCTACCTATAGTGTTTCCAGCTTCCACCTATGTCATCTGCTCCTGCTTTCTTTCAATTTAAAGAGGCTGTCATTGTCCACCTTATCAATATCCCTAAGTATCCTGTAGACTGTGATCATGTCCCCTTTGTTTCTTCTCCTGGGTTATGAGATTCAGATCCTTTATCTCCATCTTCATAGCTCAATCCTCTTAGATCTGGTACTAATCTCGTTGCAAACCTTCTTTTGCAACGTGGTTTGCCTCTCTTTCCTTTAGTTCTTCACATTTGGCTTTATTCTTCACAACGGGGAGATTATAGGCCAGTGTTGCGTATTCTAGTTTGGGTAGATAGTAGTTGTGTAGACTGCCTTGAATGAGTAGATCGTAGTAGTGTAGACTGCCTTGAATGAGTAGATCGTAGTGGTGTAGACTGCCTTGAATGAGTAGATCGTAGTAGTGTAGACTGCCTTGAATGAGTAGATCGTAGTAGTGTAGACTGCCTTGAATGAGTAGATCGTAGTAGTGTAGACTGCCTTGAATGAGTAGATCGTAGTGGTGTAGACTGCCTTGAATGAGTAGATCGTAGTGGTGTAGACTGCCTTGAATGAGTAGATCGTAGTAGTGTAGACTGCCTTGAATGAGTAGATCGTAGTAGTGTAGACTGCCTTGAATGAGTAGATCGTAGTAGTGTAGACTGCCTTGAATGAGTAGATCGTAGTAGTGTAGAGTGCCTTGAAGGAGTAGATCGTAGTAGTGTAGACTGCCTTGAATGAGTAGATCGTAGTAGTGTAGAGTGCCTTGAATGAGTAGATCGTAGTAGTGTAGACTGCCTTGAATGAGTAGATCGTAGTAGTGTAGACTGCCTTGAATGAGTAGATCGTAGTGGTGTAGACTGCCTTGAATGAGTAGATCGTAGTGGTGTAGACTGCCTTGAATGAGTAGATCGTAGTAGTGTAGACTGCCTTGAATGAGTAGATCGTAGTAGTGTAGACTGCCTTGAATGAGTAGATCGTAGTAGTGTAGACTGCCTTGAATGAGTAGATCGTAGTAGTGTAGACTGCCTTGAATGAGTAGATAGTAGTAGTGTAGACTGAGTGTTGATTTCGGTTTCTAAACGACGTTGTAATGTTTACTAACGTTCTATATGCTGTCAGTGTAATAGGCAGCAAAAGTACCTTTTGTGCAGTTAATACCTCGCCTTTTGTGCAGTTAATACCTCGCCTTTTGTGTAGTTACCTTCCTGTTATGGTGTAGATATATCATGTCGTTTCTTTTCTCCATTTCCCATCTTCATTGCCTTATACTTATTTGGATTTGTTTGCCCATGCAAATAAATCCAAATTTCTTTTCAAACAAATTTGACAAAGTTTTTTCTGAAACATTGTGCAGTCGTCGTCGGGGTGTGCACCCCTCACAGGCCTTGAGTCGTGTGGTAACGCAGGCAGACATGACCTCACTCCCTCGTTGTTTAAAAAAATTCGTTTTTTCGTAAATTTTGTAAAAACTTATAAGTTTTTATTAAATTCGTTTATATCAATTAGGAACAGTAGTAGTGGTCCCAGGAGCAAATCTAGTAAAGATTATTTATTAGGAACATTATTAAATGCCTTTTTGGGGAGGAAATCTTGGAGTATACGGTCTCCTCAGACTTACTTTTTCTGATTTACTTTTAAGTTTTTGAAGCACGATTTTCTCATTCTTAAAATCCATGCTGCATTTTTGTTACAGTTTATCGTCTCCATGTGTCCAATCATTCTCATCCTGTTACTGTTTCCATCTCTTTACATGGAATACTTGCTCTTTAGTTCGTAATTTAGTGCATCCTGTCTGTTCCCATTTTAATAGTATTGAAACTATCTTTGTCTTATTCCAAAATTCTGGGACATTTCCTGCCTTATGTGTTTTACAGAAAATGTTAGTAAGCAGATGATTAAGTACCTGTGCCGCCTTCTTTAGCAGCCATCATGTCTGTGACTGTATCTGTGATTGTATCTGTGACTGTATCTGTGATTGTATCTGTGACTGTATCTGTGACTGTATCTGTGACTGTATCTGTGACTGTATCTGTGACTGTATCTGTGATTGTATCTGTGACTGTATCTATGACTGTATCTGTGACTGTATCTGTGACTGTATCTGTGACTGTATCTGTGACTGTATCTGTGATTGTATCTGTGACTGTATCTGTGACTGTATCTGTGACTGTATCTGTGACTGTATCTGTGACTGTATCTGTGATTGTATCTGTGACTGTATCTGTGACTGTATCTGTGATTGTATCTGTGACTGTATCTGTGACTGTATCTGTGACTGTATCTGTGACTGTATCTGTGACTGTATCTGTGATTGTATCTGTGACTGTATCTGTGACTGTATCTGTGACTGTATCTGTGACTGTATCTGTGACTGTATCTGTGATTGTATCTGTGACTGTATCTGTGACTGTATCTGTGACTGTATCTGTGATTGTATCTGTGACTGTATCTGTGACTGTATCTGTGACTGTATCTGTGACTGTATCTGTGACTGTATCTGTGATTGTATCTGTGACTGTATCTGTGACTGTATCTGTGACTGTATCTGTGACTGTATCTGTGACTGTATCTGTGACTGTATCTGTGACTGTGATTGAGCTTGTGAGTATTACTGTGACTGTACTCACCTAGTAGTACTTACGGGGGATGAGCTATGACTCTTGGATCCCTCCTCTCAACTCTTAACCGACTGGTATGCACGATCCTAAGCATATTGCCTTCCGTCATATTTTCATTTCAAGCTGTATATGGAGTCTGCATTTACCACTTCACTTCTCAGCGTATTTCAATTGTTCACTACTAAGACACACATTCTTAATGTAGCAGTAAGTAAGTATTTGGGTTCTTAGTTTCCAACTGTGTCCCTTGGTGTCACGTTCTACCCCTGGTAATTAATGTCTTTGTCTGCCTTGTCTATTCTCTTGATAATTTTGTATTTGGTAATCATGTCTATCATGTTTCTTCTCGTTTTTTTGTTTCTTTTTTTTGTACTTTCTTCAAAGAACATTCCTTTACATAGTTCTCATATAAGCCAATCTTCCGTATGCAGCTGATGATATTATTTTAGTCAATATTTGGCTTATTAGTAAGTGCATACGTGACATACTAATTTATAGTGAATATTTGAGTTTACCTTGAAAAGCTGAATAGAAAACACCGACCTAACCTAACCTTCTTAGTATGTTAAGATAAGTATCTTATTGTTTTTTAATTACAATTAGTACTTAACCTATACCTATAGTGATATAACAGTTTTATAAAAATAATAAAACAAAACTAAAATATTTAAATAAATTGTAAAGTAATCCAGGATATTGACAAATTTTGTATAAAATCTCTATTGTTTGATAAAACTGGAAAAAAATCCTAATAATAAAACTGGTGTATATAAAATCAATATAAAGAGTTTATACCTTGAAAACAAAATATAACTTGGAATATACCATATATGTACTTATTAATAAGCCAAATATTGACTATAAACAATAAGTCATGTACGTAGTGTCTCGTGAGAGAGCGGGTTGTATTATTTTGATGTGGGCTTCTAGTGACAGTCTTGGGGGGGGGGGGGGGTGGATAATAACCCTCAAGTCTTTTATCTACCTGATTCCATTAGGATTTCTTCCGTCACTTGATACCTTGTATCCGGTCACCGATTCTCTATATCCAACTTCATTACGTTACACGTGCTAAAGTTGAATTCAAATAGACATTTGTGGGAGCATTTTTTCAATTTGCCAAAGTTCTCTTTCAGTTTCATATAGTATTATATTGTTTCTATTCTCCTCATAGCTTTTATGTACGTGACTGTGTCTTTGACTGCCATTTTCTGTGACTGTATCTGTGACTGTGTGTGTATGTGGCAGTCACTGTAACTCTGCCTGTGACTGTGAATGTTGTGTGACAGTGTTTGTCACTGTGGTGTGACTGTGACTGTGGTTTGACAGTGACAATGAATGTGTTGTGACAGTGTCTGTGACTGTGATGTGACAGTGACTGTGGTGTGACAGTGACTGTGGCGTGACAGTGACTGTGGTGTGACAGTGACTGTGGTGTG